GAGCCGAGTGGGCGGGCGGGCTGAGGCCGGGGGCTCTGTCACGCAGACCCCGCAGAGGGTCGCCGGAAGCAGTGGGAGCGCTTTTCTTTCTTTACGAGGGCCCTGGAATAGCCAGGCGCTCCATCGTTCGTGAGCGGCAGGAGGGCGCGCTGGGGCTGCTTGCCGAGGCTCAGCGCCGCGCAGCGCTTGGCGAAAGAATCCGAGCTCCCCTCTGATGCCGCTTAGGCGCTTCACATCATTTTCCTCCCGGTTTAGTTTACTCCAGCAACTTCCTGAATCCAGGCTTGCCTTTTATTGCTCTCTCTCTGCTCACCAGACATCTTAGCACAGAGATGAGTTCATTAAACGGACTAAATGTTTGCCTCTCTCTTAACCCAGAGGGCGAGCGATGGCACCGCGTTTGCCCACCTCTCTTGTAAATTGAGGGGAATTCTACCGAACTGAAAGGGTTTTTCCTCTGGCCGCCGAGAGCTCCGCCCTTTGGAGAGCCCCCTCGGCAGCCTGAGAGCCCAGTCCTGACGCCTAACTCACCCTGCTCAGGCGCTGAAGGAGGCCGGGAAAGGATTCAGGCCCGGCCGCTTCCCGGAACGCAATGACGCAGCCGCTCGGCGAAACCGTTGGAAGCTGAGTCCCACCACCCGGAGCCTGGCTTGGCAGGGAATCAGGAGAAGGGCACCGGCGGTGCTCCCAGCCTGCATCCTTAGTCCTCCGCGCAGGCCTGCTCGCCCTCCCCAGCCTGCCTGAACCGTGGCCGCTTGGCTTGGCTGGAGCCAGGGCTGGCCGGCCTCCCCAGGACACCAGCCTCTGCTCAGGCTACTCTCTTCCTGCTTCTGCCTTGGTTCTGGGCGGCTTCGCTGAGTCAGAGAGCTTCCTTCGCTCCACACTCCGGTGCTGCGCAGCTCCGACCCCCCAGGCCTCTCCCAGGCCACTCCCTGCCCCTCTTGCTGGCCCCAGGCTCCTTGGGAAGGAGGGTCCTTCCTGCAGCATCCACCAAGGAAGTCGCTGACTGGGGACCGGGGTTCTTCTGCGCCTGGCAGACGGGCCGACACCCGGAGGCACGCAGACCCCGCTGCCCTACCTCTGCACCGTGTGCCTGGCATCAAAATGCCTGGGGGTGCAGAGTACACCATCCGAAGAGTAATGGAGCCATGGCTTGCTGAACTAACCCGTGGCTTGTATTCGCACAGTACACTAAACTGTGCTGGCTGAGTTCACAGAATACTCCTCTGCATTATGCAAATCCAGCGATCGCTGTCTGCGGCAGTACAGTCTGAACTGAACTTTTGGCTGGTTAACTGGGATGAAATGAAAGGCAGAGCGATTCTTATTTTGGTCCAGTCTCTTCAGCAAAAGGAAATGAGGTGTGCCACCTGGAAACTGAAGAGCAGGACGAAGGATGGACACTTGCAACTGACAGAAATAAGGTTGGGGAAAGCCTCTTCCTTTTGAATGACTTTAAATTTCCAGGGAATTCCATTCTATGGAATTTGCTGATGGTTTAACCAAACCCTTACATTTTTTTTTTTTATAAATCCTGGAGAATTGGTGAAGGGCCAGACAAAGAAAGAAGGGCACATGTGTCTGTGTTTTCAAAAAGAAGAAAAGGAGGACCGTCCAGTCTGAAACTGATAATGGGGAAAATTCCAAAGCAGATCATAAAGAGACTGAGTTATAAACAACTTGAAACCCAGGCAGATTTGTCAAGAACCGACGTTGCCACACTAATCTTACTTCATTTTTTCTCGGGCAACTTTTTAAATTCTAATTTCCTAAATGCCAGGAAAACTGTAGGAGGAATTATTAAGCAGTTGGTTTGTGAGCATTTGGAAAAGAGTACATTGTTTGGCAAAAGGCCAGTGTCAAGAACAAATCGTGCCAACCAGTGATAGTTTTTTGATTGAGTGATCAGGTTGGTTGACCATGGCAATGCAGCAGACCTAACTTTTGACTTCAGCAAAACAATCAGCAAAGTCTACCGTGAGATGCAAGCGGAGAAGATGCGGTAATGTGGGCTGGACTCTGCTCCCACTAGCTGGACACAGTGCCGGTTGGACAACTGTACCCAAAGTGAACCTCAGTGGCTCAGTGCCAAGTTGGAAGGAAAGGTCAGGCAGAGTCCCCAGGGGCTCCCGTCTGCACCCTGTGCTGCTCATCTAGGGTGAAGGGTTAGAAAATAGGAGATTATCAAATTTGTGGACCGTGGAAAGAGAGAGGACGGAGTAGAAAACACCTGGGTGAGAGAATCACGGTCCAAAAGGAGCCACCCAAGCCAGGCAGAAATCAGTGCGAATCCTTCCCATGGGAGCAAAGTGGCCTTCAGAAGTCTGGGGAAGACGCAGCTGTTTCGCAGAGGGCCATAAGGAAAGGGCCCTTATGACCTTCCCTCTGGACGAGCAACTTTTTCAGGGGCAGTTTTGGGGTTTTAAAAATGATGGATTCCTGGTGCACATAATTGCTTAGATTATATTTTTTGGATTTAACCTTTCACTATTATGTATTTGTTTTAACCCAAATTATGGAGTTGGAGAGTTGTATGTGATGTCCAGAATTGGTTGGAGTGGCCTAGCACCCCTGAAAATAAATAAAACAGACTCCTTCATTTGGGTGAAAAAGATCAAAGACATGACTACAGAACGTGGTACCCTACAGATCTGTAAGTGGTACGTGTGGAAAGGGGGTGGCGTGTGATGGTGTGCCCCGCCATTCCTTGGGCAGCTCTGCCCATCTTGCAGGCACTGGGCACAGAGAGAAACGGGCACAGAGAACACAGCTGCCTGTTTAGCTTTTCTGGGCCAGCAGAGCCCGCGGTTTTCCAGAGAATGCGCTCCGGACAGAAGGCGGGCAGGGGGTGGAGGGGACGTGGGGGCGCTGCCTTCCTGCCCAGCAAGAGAGAGAACTGTTTGGCTCCTTTAGGGACAAGCGCCCACCTCATTTCCCCACCCCATTTGGATTAAATAGTGGGGTGAGGTTCAAGCAACTTATGAGGGCCTTTGGGATCCTCTGCTGTAACTCATCCACTCCCCCCCGCCTTTATCTGAAGGGGTCCTTGCCCAGCATCCCCGAGGCGTTGCTCTCCATTCAGGGCCCAGCCAAAAGAGGTGCTGACCCCCCGCCAGCCCTCCTGCCTTGTCCAGGAAGCAGAAGGGGGGTTGCTCTCCCCCAGCGGGGGGGGGGCAGGGCAGGGCAGGGCAGGGTGCCTTCTTTGGTGGCACTTCCTGGAATCAGAAAGCCCACGTGTTGGGATGGGCCTGGGCAAGTGGGTGCTGGGACAGAGGCTGTAGCTGCCCTTCACGCTGCCCAAGCGCAGGTTGCCACCGGTAGCCTCTCTCCTGGGCTGTCTCTGAACTCGGGTTTGCTGGTCTTCTGAAAGGCCAGGTGTCAGGAAGAGCTGCCAGCCAATTGTTGTCTGACTGGTAAACCTCTGCCCCAAATTACCCCAGATGACAGGTAAGGGGATGGCGTGGGGTCGCGTGAGGTGATGCCCCGACTGTGATCCAGCCTGCCAACCTGTCAGCTGGGTTCCCTGGGGGCGAAGTTTCGCCAGCGAGAGAAGACTGCTGGGTGGTTCTGCTGTTCTTCATGTCCCTTGGGTGAGGAGGGGTCACGGGCAAACTCATGTCCGTTTCACCAGCTCCCAGATCCCAAAGGGTTGCGAGGGAATGTTTGGGATCAAGCGGCTGAAGTGGAAAACCAAGATGGCGACGTCAGCAAACACCGGTCGCTGCCGCTGCATGACGAGGAAACTTGTGGGTTTAACCCCTCTCCCCCCAGGATTTTACCATCTCTTAAGGTAGATTGGGTGCACAGTTGACCTTGGGGGGGCTTTTATCCCGCTCTAATGTGTCGACTCGGGCGCAACCCCTGGGACAGACCAGCAGAGCTCGGCAGAGAGCAGCAGGCTTGGGCGAGCTCCGGTGTGGTTCCTGTGTGGCACGGTGAACCCCAGCGAGCCCCAGAGCGGCATGGAGATCCCGATCACCCAGAGAGGGCATGCCCCGGGCCCCCTCAGTAAGAGAACTCCGGTCAGTGGGGTTCAGAAGGCGGGCCTTCTCGGCTGTGGCCCCCGCCCCTTGGAATGTCCTGCCCCTGGAGGTGCGATTGGCCCCCTCCCTCCCGGCCTTCCGGAGGGCTTTGAAGACCTGGCTCTGCCATTTGGTCTGGGGCGGGGAGGGAATACTTCAACCGTGGGGATGGCTAGTCCCATAGAGGCCTGCTGTCTTCAGCCCCAGATTCTTCATCTTCTTGGACTTTTCCTCTTTTTTAGTAATGTTTTAAAAATTTTGATGTTTTATGTACAGTGGTACCTCGGGTTACGAATGCCTCTGTTAACGAACTTTTCGGGTTACGACCAGCTCTGGCTGCAAAAATTTACTTTGGTTTGCGAACTCCGCCTCGGGGTACGTTACGAATGCCTCTGTTAACGAACTTTTCGGGTTACGACCAGCTCTGGCTGCAAAAATTTACTTTGGTTTGCGAACTCCGCCTCGGGGTACGAGCAGGATACGCGGCCATTTTCCCTCCCGTGACACGGTCCGCGGCCATTTTTCCACCCCTGACATGTGGTCCGCGGCCATTTTCCGCCCCGACACGTGGTCGTAGGGAGGAGGACTCCCCCCCCAAGCAATAGCCGCCTCTCTGTCCTCCACGCCAGAACGGAATAACGGTAATTACATTGAACCTTAAGGGGAAATTTCCTTCGGGTTGCGACCAATTCGGGTTGCGGCCAGAGTCACGGAACGAATTAAGTTCGTAAACCGAGGTTCCACTGTATTTATATGTATTTACGGTTTTAATGTTTTGTGTGAGTCGCCCAGAGTCCCCCGTTGGGGGGAGATGGGTGCGGGAGAAATTTAATAAATAAATAAATAAATAAATAAAATGAGTGACCGAAGGGCATCCTGATCCAGGAAAGGGCGTAACTGGTGCACAACCTGAAGTTGTGCAAAAGCCCTCCTGGCCACGGCTGCCACCTGCTCCTGGAGCAGGAGCCGTGAGTCCAGGAGGACCCCCAAATTACGCAATGGGTCTGTCTGGGGCAGTGCACCCCCATCCAGCACCAAA